TTCAACCATAACGTTGGCCTTTGAACACCAAATAACAGCAGGAATTGACTTAAACTGTTTTAAAAGTAGGTTTGCTGTACAACACCCTCGCTTACAGCTGGTGTAATTGTTGATTATTATCATTGTTGATTGTCAACCCCGTGATACACTAAAACACATATTTTCAATGTATATATATATATAGCTTCTTTATTGACTTTTTGAATCATATAGTTGAGCCCCCCTTAAAAAAATTTGGCCCCCCCTGAGACCCCGGTCTAGCTGTGGGCCTGGTTGTAATATTTGTATTATATGAGATAAGAATAACTGGTTTAGACTAGGATCAGATACCAGCTATTACACAGGTGCTTGAAAAATTCATTTTGTATTCTACTAAAAACATAGGTGTTTCTATCTTTTTTCTCTTTCCAGTTTTCTTTACTTTAAACAGTTATTTTACTGACTGTATCCCGTTGAAAAAAAACAACAAAACATAACAATGCTTATTTGTTGTATTTATATAAATTATTTGTGTTATGTGACCCAATTTATTTTAACTGACCGAGTGAAAGTGACCTGTTATTTTGTTAAATCTCCCAGTCTGACTTCTATTTATTTTGGTATTTTGATAGATTTGTGAAATAAAATGAAGAATGGACCATTTCACAAAAAATCATTTGAAAAATTTTGTCAGAAGTGTGTTATTTCCCATCTTTTCATGTTTTGTCCAAAGTAAGATTTTGTTTTTTGTTAAAAATCTCAATGACAAATCTTAGTTTTTAAGCATGACAGTCTTGAAATTTCAATTGAGAAAAGGGAATATAGGAAAACACTGTTTTACATCACAAACATACGCTATTCTAAGAGCGAAATGTCTGAAATAATAATAATGCTGGCAATGATTCACAACTTGTTCTTGAAGAGATTCATTTTTTTGAGCTTTTTTGATGTTACTTTACTCCGCATCCATGATCTGACAAAATTGATATGTAATAAAAGTTCCTGGTCATTAGAATATTCATCCAATCATTTGCTCGGTTTAATAAAAGATTTGCTCCCTGTAAATGAGGAATTCTAGAATATTTTTATGAGAATCTAAGGTTCAAAAAATTCTGTCGAGAGTGGTGATAGATATATTAAAACAACCTAATCAAGCATATTGTTACTCAGAGTTTCATGCTTTGTGATCCTCAGACAACTGACCTATTTCAGCCTGTGGCCCTAGTGAAGTTAGACAAGTAGAACTTATTCTCATGTCTACATTTCGTAACAAGTTCGGAACGTTTGTTTAAAGATGTGTTCAGATAGAAATTGTCTACATTCTTTGTATATTAAAGTATAAAAGTTCATTCCATTTAGGGACAATCTGATATATATTTAATATCATATGATTTATAGTAATAACCCAATTAATCATAATGGTGTCAATATCTAGATATTATCATAGCTCACGGTCAGTAGACATTACATCATTCAGGTCAAGTGGTCCAAATTAAATATCAGTTATTAACTATCTGTCAAACTGAAATAACTCTTATATTTGATTTGATTGATTTAAATGAAAGGGACTTGATTCAAAAGCGGTATTCTAGCAATTCTGGTATTTTGTGGAAGGGCTATGGCTTCCCCATCAGGCCTTTGATAGATCATATTTTGAAGTGAAAATAAATACTCTAAATGCTCGAAATTTGTCTTAGGACATCACATATCTGTTGCCTTCTTGATGCCTCTGGCAGCCCAAACCCCCAGCTTCAAGGGGCTTACCCTTCGTGCTTCGCCTGGAGAGACACCCCTGATTTTTTACCCCTCCTCAAGCATTTTCGAGATACGCCCCTGGTTCTGGACTTTGCAGCTCTCAGCATGTCACTGATTTGCCCTTTCATTCTAAATATACATTCAGAAGTATATGATCATACATTTTATTCCTACATATAAGTTACAATAACCCCACTCAAAGAATTCACAGTCATGCAGCAAACAAAACAACATACAGTGGTTCATACATAGAATTAATACACACGAATATAGTGCACATAAATTTAAAGTATATTTCTGAGCTTTTAAATATGATTTAAAGTTTTGTTGAAATATTAATTCTACTTATTAAGTGGAGGAAGAGATTCTGGTGTTATTTCCATGTAAAAACCATATATTATTTTGTATCGACCATGCAGTAATGATTGTATCCATATAACAAATGTTACACATTTTTAAATGGGGTGTTATTTTTGGCCTCTGTATCTAATATGGACAATGAATTACATGAGTTATCTAATTGTTTATTTAGAACTATGATCACGAATATTAATGAACAAAGAAAATACACCATTATTATTTCCTTTCCTACTTCTGTTAATTTTGATGAAAAATGTAAAGATTTTAATGTTGGTAGAGGACATTCTTATCGGGATTTTTCTAAATTTTTATGTGTATTGAAGACACTGATAACATCAATTTGCACCACTTCAATTTTCAATCTGACCTCTGTGGTTCCTGCAATTTCACTAAAACTAAGCTTTATATGTTGTCACTCATTGCTAGGGCCTTTATGTGATACATGCATATTTTGCAATTAGTGACATCATAAAACACTTAGTTTTAGTGGAATTGCAGAATCCACAGACGTCTGATTTAAAAGTAGAATGTTTCATATTGAAACTATCAGTGTCCCCTATACGCTTAAAAATTTTAGAAAATTATCTCTAACACTCTCCAAATTGTTCATTAACTCTTAAGAACAAATACTTACTGTTAGAAAATAAAGTTGAATATACTGTATATTCTAAATAATATAGACCTTATTTATTACGCATGAAACATTATCATAATGTCACATGATAACACTAGCTTCAGGGGCCTTATTCTAAAAAAATTTAAGAATTTCGGTAAACTAATTGGATAATAAAATTGAATTTATAATAGATGTTCGTGATTGATAATTCAGATGAATGGAACATTATGATAATAATAATGACTTTATTTTGGCAACCCATTTCGACAGAAGTCTAATTTTCAATAGGTCCCACTAAACTACAAATTATATACAAGATTACAGAAAGAATAAAATCACAGAAAATAACTTAAAACATATATACATTTACAATGTAACATGGATGAGGAAAGAAATATGAAAATGTAACCACTATGTTTCCCCACATAACTACATTGACACATAAGACATAAGGAATATATATCCCACTGTAAAGTGTCTGATAGTGTTGAAACGGTCAAGGGTACATACAGGTCTGTTTCTAGTGAGTTGACTTGATAAATAAGTTTTAGTGTGAGTTTTTATCAAGTGAAGAATGTTTGATTTCAGTGTCAATATATCAAGTATTATAGTTCTCTTTCAATATTGACCCTTCTATTGTTTTTTATTCTCAGACTTTTCATACCTCACTTGCTTTGATTGGATGATATAAACATGGCTTTGATTGGATGATATAAACACAGTTTTGATTGGATGATTTAAACACAGCTTTGATTGGATGATTTAAACACAGCTTTGATTGGATGATTTAAACACAGCTTTGATTGGATGATTTAAACATAGCTTTCATTTGTAAAATTGCGACCTTTAAACCAAAGGTCATGTACTGACATCTTCAAGATGACAATTGTGGTCTGAAACTTACCATTTCTTGCACCTTGCAGAGTTAATTTCTCTTGTTTTATTATTAGTCAGATATAAATGGTTTTATTTAACTGAAAACTTTCAATGGGCTTGAGTCAAAACCTTCAGTTGTTCAAGATGATAAATTCAATTAGGTTGTTCGCTGGTCATTTAGCATGTATAAAAATTACGCCACTTGACCACAGAAAGAGTGAGCACTTTCTACCCAATGTCTTAAACCTGCCAAATAACATCTCTGAATCAACAAACCAAACACAGCTTGAAGGGCATGAAATGAGTCCAACAGACTTCCTAGATAGATCAACATGGACAAAAATTACAAAGCCTGAAGTACACAGAAAGAGTGAGCACTCTCTGCCCAATGTACTATACTCACCAAAATAACATCTACATATACAGACAGACAAATAAAACATGGATCTGAGACAAAAACAACACTCGAAATTCTTCTTTTATTCTTTCAAATTAACGGCATCTCATCCTAAATAAAAACAAATATCATTATTTTCTATCATTATTTTCTGAATATCTGAGTGTTTGTTTTGTACTAATTAACAGAAAAAGATGAAAATATATTAAGTGTTAAAATAAGAAACAACAGAATTAACAATCATGTGACACTACCCTTAAGATAATGATTAATTAAGAAAAAGATCAAAATACAGATAACAGTGTTCAATTTTTATACGCCCATCTTGTTAGGGTGAAGGAGGTTACACCTGTAGTTTCACCTGATTTGGGGTGAATCTGGGGTCATGTCCTGTAAAATGATGAGACTAAGGAGAGAGAAGCAAGGGCATGTCATATTTCCCAAACTCTTCATACCGTATATTTTCCCATAACCACTTTATCTATCTACATGTATTTATGTTTATTCGTGATGACACCCATATAACTTTTTCTATTCTTGGTCTATAATATATTTGTCAATTCGTGATGACAACCATATAACTTTCTCTATTCTATGTTATATTTGTCATATCGTGATCACACCTATATAACTTTCTCTATTCTATGTTTTTGATATATTTGTCAATTCGTGATGACACCTATATAACTTTCTCTATTCAGACCTATATTAAGTTTTTATCAGTGTTTGATAGCACCCATATAACTTTCTATATTCGACGTTTATGTTATATATTCCAGGTTTATGTTATATTTGTCACATGGTCTGACAGTGGTACCTATGTTGTCTATAGAAGATATAGCCGCTTCTTTGACTTTCAGGTAAATTTTTCACCCATTTTGTACCTACCCACATTTATATTGAAAATTCTCTCATTGCAACTTGTGACAAAATCAGGATTTATCAGCTATCCTGGACCATTCAAAAATGAATTCATGTCAGATTTCAAATTAGTTTAAAATCAGCACTCCAGTAATTGATCAGACTATGTTGGTGATGTTTTTGAGGTGTCTTCGATCACCCCCTTTGAATATAGCTCTACACGACAATATTTGTTTGTATATTACAGAGTGCTTTATTAGATAAATTCCCAATAGAAGGTGGTAGTATAGATCCTGAATCTAGAATTATACCATTTCTTCCAGGTTTGTCTTCTTTATTCTTTATCAGTATTTTTAAATCAATGGCCATCTTGTCAAGTCTGACGACACTGAGAACATTATTAAATTTCTATCATAGCAACATGTTTTGTCAAAAATTCAGCAGAAGATGCTTGTGGATCATTGAAGATGACAAAATCAATGAGGTAGTCATGAAATGAGTTTAATAACCACTCAGCATAATTCAAAGCTGAAATGAAGCCAGGTTTCCTAGGAGCCCCCAAGAAAGATCAAATATTGACCAATCAAATTTCTTTAATTTGCTTAAGGTGCAGGCACACAAGTGGCCTTGGTCGAAAATTTTGGTCACTGATTAGAGTTTTTGATTAATATGTCGCATGTGCCCAGGCTTCTAGACGAAATTATTGCGTCTCCGACAGGATTTATAATATCAAACAAGTTTGATAATTGTCTCCGATATTTTTTATCCGTCATCATCCAATCAGATTCATTTTATTTCCATTGCATGCTGCGCACGTGATGATCGATAAAGTAGAAGACTGGAGATTTTTGTCTCCTTGTGTGCCCATGCCAATCGGTGAAACTCTTGGCAAGACTCTAGTCGGGCCTTAACTCTCTGCCCAAGACCCTTTGTGTGCCTACACCTTAAGATATGAATGATGTGAATTTGGAATATCTGAATACAAATTCTTGTTACTTATAACAATGAAACTTATTGATTATATTTGATAGGTAAAATAATATTTGGAAGAAGTCATATCCGAGATGTAGCTGTAAAGAGACTAGGTCCTATCAATGATTACTGTAAGGTAAGTGTAACTTTCTTACTCTCTACTAAATCAGGCAAAATCTCGCACCTTAGGATGAAAAAGATCTAAATGTTGAACGTAGACACCATAAAATTGAGATGTAATAACGCGTTACCTATAATCCTAATTTCCTGCTTCTAGATGCAAGTTATATTCTAACTTCAACAGCTGTCTAAGATAGGACTGTAATGATTCACTGATCAATAGATGAACCCTGATTTTCCCTCTTATTGATGCATTGGGTGGATAAAAATAAACCTAATATATCGGCATGATTATTTATTAACTTCCTTTTGATGATAATGACACAGAATCCTAAATTATATTAGAAAATGATTTATATTTGAAATTTCTAAGTCATAATTTTAAACTCTGAAAAAGATTAAGCACATCTTTGTAAACAGTTGTCTCTGAATTTCAAGATGTTTACACAATGATTTGGTATGATATTAAGGCTATATTTTATAGATATTTGTACCACATTTGTCATACTATTACAAATTTCTACCATCTTTGTTCTTTCTTTTTCTAATAAATGAATGGCAGTTTATTTTCACAATATATCATATCATTGGATGAGTATCTTTATGTGTACTGAATCGCAAGAATCGTTGCAACCCTAGAGTTAAAAGTGAGATGAGAATAGTATTCTCAAAAAAGCACTGGCCCAGGTCATAAAGTAGGAAACAAAATCAAAGGATTTGATAGTTAGTTTTAGACCACTATTGATATCTACTGAGAGAGTAGGTATTTAAACCTAATATACTGTTTCCACCAAATAGTATAAATAGTATGATAAAAAACTATTGATATGTTTCAGGCTGTCATTGCTCTCCCTCCTAAAATCTCACAATGCGAAGAAGTTTTGGATTTTTTTGAAGTGGAAACAGATGATTTAGACCCTCCTAAAGCTGAAGAGTAAGTTAAATCTGTTATTTTTGTCAAATTGAGGGTTTGGGGCTGGACATTGTGTGAGGTGGGGTATAATCACCCTTCTGAAACACCTGATACCACTACAACTTGATTTATTATCTCTTGATCTCCATAGAAGAGTCAATTTCATTTCTATATCACTTTTTATAATTAAAATCTGGCATCCTGGCGGCATTTTCTCGAAACGATCTTAGCGCTAGGATGTCCTAAGTTTCATTGGAAGCTCATGCTCAATTGTAAGACAACCAGACATCTGATTTGCATTATGAAAAGTGTCACAGGCAGCTGAAACTGAGCTCTATAAATGTAACTTCATGTAGTAAATTGTCTGGCTATGAGATATTAAAACAAAAGCTGAGTAAAGGAAATAATATAATAAACTTCCTGGTAATGATATCTTATTGTGGTATTTATATCTTTCCTAACGTTAAAATTCAGAAAATCACAGCTAATAGTGAGAGCAATATCTAGAGAAATTGACTAAGTTATAATCAAAAAATTTAAGATGCAATTTTTTCTGGAAAATGATATTTAAGTTAAAATTCAACGTCTCATAAGAAGATACTTGGATTAAGTGAACCACTTTAGTGAATCTAATTATTGGTAAAGGGGGCGTGGTTTAAACTTTGATGATGTTGATTTGATAGGGATAGGCTTACATTTTGATATTTTTATCCTTTGATTTTTTTTTGACTTAATAATAAAAAAAATTAAAGTAAAATTTTTCAATTTTTCAATTTTTCACATGCATTGAAACCCCTCCAAACCATATCCTCTGTAAACAGACATCCCCTCTACGGACATATTGGAAATCCCAACCAAATCTCCATATTATGACTATTTTCTTATGAATAATTTTTACTTCCTCAGCCAGTATTTGAGGGAGTCAACCTAATATAATATTTACTTTCAAACCTTGAGGCATTTCTCATTAATTTACAGTAATTAAATAAAGATTTTTAAATAAATGACATAAATTTTGATATAATTAATAAATAATTTGTTTACATAATAAACCTGACGGATGAAATAATCCTGACTCAATGCACTAGGATGGATATTTCTCTAACTAGGACTAACAGACACTCCTACTGTCAAATATAGTATATTTCAATTAATTAACGTATTGCCCTAATATTCAATTTTCAATGAATTTACACAGGAACTTGATTTTATCCTGTTGATGAGTCGTAGTGTAAACCTGCTCTAGTTTTATTGTATATTGACATTGGGTTGTTCTGTTTGGTGTAAGTGTAGGCCTTCAAGTCAGAGTTTAAGAATTGTATTAAGTAATATTCTCCTAGTTGGATTTAATACCTATAGGTGATATTAATGATTGGATTTTCTAGTGTCTTCTTGTCTTAGTCTTTAAGTTTTAAACTTGAAGTTTAACTGTCAAAAAAGGATTTGTAAATAAAAGGATCTATCAATGTATGTGTATATAAGATAGTGTATTAGCCTGTATAAGAAAATGAAAACAGTGTTGACTTAGACTGTTAACCCTAAGTACTGTGTATGGAATGTTAGCTTTAAATAAAAAGCAAAAGTTTATTTCGTTGGATTGAAAGTGTTTTTAAACAGAAATTTCAAGTTTTAGCAGTAGATATTAAGGAAATAAATAGATCTATGTTGACATTTTGCATCAAAATAAGGACAGGATGTAAACTTTGAGAGTGAGACAGTCATATTTTAAGTGTTTTCTTGTGATTATAGTTTTACAGAGATTACTCATACTGAAAATAACTTAAGGAAGGATTGGAATAGTTTAGTGAACTTCTGAAGAAAATGATAATGTATGTAAAATTAAAAGATAATCTAGAAAAATACAGTTATATTCAGACTTTTTTCTGAACATATGGAGTAAAAAGATTATGCTAAGTAATGATTGAATTATACCTATGTGAATTATATTGATATGGTAATTTATGTGCATATCATTAGTAAATTATCTTAGAAAATAAGAGTTGTACTGTTACTGTAAACATTAACAAAAAATATTAAAAATAAATTTACATAATAGTTAGACGGAGACTTTTTTTTATGGGATAATGGTAGTTTATAATCAAATGAATGAACTGTAGCTAATTGTAGCCAATAGGTTATGTAATTATAGTGATATTGTAAATTATGCGCATAATATTAAAACGTAAACTAATGTGATAGACTGTTATGGTGAGACTGTTTACGTTTACTTAACACATTGGATTTACAGGAATTTTGTAGATAAGACATGGCATGATTTGACTTTAACTAGTTGAAACAAATATTGTGTGGACTTATAATGATATGGTAATTTATGTGCATAATATTAAAATTAATTGACTTGATTCAAGTATTTTAAATAATTTACATTAACTGTGTAGTGTTATTTCTGCCTGTCAATGCATTTGTGAATTTTGCATCAATTAGTAAAAAATTTCTAAATCTAAAAATCGAAATGTCTCTAAAACTGAGGAAAGTTTCAAGTTATATGAATTCTAGAATTCGGACTGTGAAAAGTTGTCATATTAAATTTAGAAAGAAAAAGAAAGATGAAGGAGCGAAGAAGGCTGAGAATATTTCTGATCCGAAGACTCTAACACAGTACCGAGTAACGTGTGATTATGAGAAACAAGATCGGGGTGAAATTGATCTAGAGGCTGGAATGATCGTGGAGGTGGCAGAGAAAAGTGAAACAGGTTAGATAATCTTACTTCCTATTCTCATAGTTACATATGAAATAAAATGAAATGGAGATTAACATCCTACTTTCTTGTACCAAATTGGGCTAATGAAGATGGGTAACACCATGCAGGGTGCAATGAGGGAAATTTTGCTGGGACAGCATCATTAGCCTATTTCCAATTTCCAATTGTCAAGGTAACTTTCACTTGCACAGCCTATAGCACACAGGACCTCAGTTTATTGCTTCATCTGAAAGACTAGACACTCTTTCTATGTCAACCTCTGACTGCATCACTGACAAGAGGAAACAGGGTTGAACCCTGGACATTAAGGTTAGAGAGCTCTAACTCTCTAAGACACAACAACTCCCCTAAATAATCAACTTTTGGGAACAATGGATGTTAAACTCCATTTCAATCATTACATTCTAACAAGGAAAAAGACCTGTCTTTATTAGGCCATGACTTCATTTCTATAAATGACTTCTTTTTATTGTCATGTTCTTGCTATGCTGTGTGTGAGTTATGCTTAGCAAGGAACACTATTATATGACACATGCTATGCTATTCTATATGAGTATTGCTGTGAAATATGAGTTTTTTCTTTTCTATATGATTTATTTGCTATGTTATATGAGTTATTCTTATGCTATATGAGCTATACTAGGGTATATCAGCGACACCAAGTAGGGTATATAAGCTATTCTAGGGTATATGAGATATATACTAAGAGCTATATACTAAGAGCTATACTAGAGTAGATGAGCTATGCTATGCTAAATGAGTTATATTATGCTGAATAAGCTACGCTATGCTAAATGAGCTATGCTATGCTATATGTGCTGTGCTATATGAGCTATGCTATATGAGCTATGCTATGCTATATGAGCTATGTTATATGTGCTGTGCTATATGAGCTATGCTATATGAGCTATGCTATGTTATATATTTACAGGATGGTGGTTTGTGAACAGTGATGATGCCCAGGGCTGGGTTCCAAGTACATACCTAGAACCAGCCGATGGTTCTACCACTGATAATGTTGTTCTCAGAGCTCAACCAGGGCAAGGTAATAATACTTTCTGTTCAGGGCTATCCAACTACAAATAGGCAAATGATACAAAATGATACAAATGCCTCATGACAAATTTGACAAAAGAATAAAGAAAAGAAATTTAAAATTTTTGAAATTATACAAATGATGCAATGTCTACAAAAAAGTGCTTACTGTTTGAAGTCTGTCCTGATCCCTTGCCGAAAATGTTTGTCTCATAACAAAAAAACCATTCTAAAGCTCTTATCATGATATATGCCTTGTGTTTTTGATGTTGGCGAACTCTCATCTGATTAATCAAGTTATGACTCTGACCAATCAAATGTCCAATTATGGAAACCATCCAAAAAGGTTGTTACAGAATTACTGATGCAATAAAACTCAGTTATAAAAGGGGTTGTAAAGAGGTTTTCTAAATTCTTTATGTCTATCAGGTACACAGACCTCTCCAAATTTCTTTCTGACTTCTGTGGTTCCTGCAATTCCACTAAAACTAAGTGTCTGTTGACAGCACAAATCGCAAAGAGCCTTGTGTGACTTGTGCGATTAGTAACGTCATCAAACACCTTTTTTTTGTGGAATTGCAGGAATCACAGACGTCTGACTGAAATTGAAATGGTGGTAATTGATGCTGTCAGTGTTCACGATACAAACACAAGATTAAGAAAACCTCTTTACAATACCTTTAATATGTTTGTGTATTATGTTATATAAAAGATATTGAAATATTTATAGAAGAGAAGTTTATCTGTATAGAAATGTTCCAGTCTAACGGTAATGATGAAATATCACTAGAGAAAGGAGCTGTGGTAGAAGTTCTGGAGAAAAACCTTTCTGGATGGTGGTTAGTCAGGTAAAGATTTAACTTCCCATCATAATGAAAATGTATAGACCTACTGTTTGATAGGCATTTAGAGATCGACACGAATAGAATAGGAGTCTTTATGGATAACAATCACTTTATTTCTTGATACATGTTGGTTGGTAGGTAGATGACAAGTAAACGTTCGTTTCCAGCGGGTGCTGATATCGCAAACTAGGTAGTTGTTGGTAGATAACAAGTTATCGTTTGCTTCCAGCGGATGCTGATATCGCAAATTAGGTAGTTGTTGGTAGATGACAAGTTAACGTTCACTTCCAGCTAACTGATATCGCAAGCTAGGTAGTTGTTGGTAGATGACAAGTTATCGTTCGTTTCCAGCGGATGCTGATATCACAAACTAGGTAGTTGTTGGTAGTCGTAGTAGTTGGTAGTTGGATTGGTTCAAATTGGATGATTCTGTGTTGTTACATGTTTGTATATGTATCCATGATACCACCTTTAAATATGAAATACTTACTCATTTATAATTAATATACTTCCTCATGTGAAAAGTTCATTAGCTGCTACCAATATTTTCCCAGTGTGCATTTTGGGTTTTGTTTTGAGGATTGATTGTTAATACTTGGTTTAATTACATGTTTGTTTTGCCTCCATGGTACCCCTTTTGTTATTTCAGGCATCAAGGAAAAGAAGGCTTTGCTCCTGCTACCTATCTTAATAAAACAGAGGACCAGTTTGCTGTAAGCCTGGCCAAACGTAAATCACTGGATGTAGAGATCATAACAAACCTATCTGACATTAGTAATATAATGAAAGGGGATTCCCCCCGAAATAGCCTGGCTTCAACAGAAACACCTAAACCAGTGACTGAAATGTATAGTAAAGTGAAGTCAAGGTCATTAGAAAGAGGAGGTAATATTAAACCTCCACCAAGACAGAGCATGAGAATGGTGAGTCTGTCCTTTACTCCGTCTTATACAACCTGGCCTGGTATTCTCGAAGTAACCTCAGCGCTAGGATGTCCTAGATTCTAATCTTCTAACATTGATTTTAGGACATCTTAGAGCTAAGATCTTTTCGAGAATACGTGGCCAGGATATCTTGACTCTAAGAGACACTATTTTGTATCACAAATGCATTTATTTGATTGGATTATATACCAATGAAAACAGCCAATCAGAAAAAATTAGCTGACATAAGAAATGAAAATAAAATGAAATGAATGGAGTTTAACATACTACTCATAGCAAAATTGAACATCTTGACATAATAAGGCTACTCTCTTTTGTGAAAGTCATAAAACACCAGTCAGCAAGCTTTAAATACATGATTTATCTCCCTTGTGATAGGTGAATCACTGAATACATACCGGTATCTATACAGAGACGATCAAATTGTTCAGCGAGACTCTTTGCTTCCTGCATTTTCGATGATTTGACATCTATAGGAACTTTCTTGTTTGACTTTGACATCAAGCTTTAAATATTCGATTATCTCCCTTGTGAGAGTGGAATATATAGTCATTCAAATACTTTGTTAGAAAACACAATCAAAGGCATGGCAGACAAGAACTAGTAGTGACATGAGCACCCAAATTTTTTACTGTCTTTCTGTCGAAGGCTTTGATAAACTGTATTTGTTAGTGTAAAATTCAATCAAATTGCTGCTTTTTTAAATTCAGATATAGATGATAATTTATATTGCTTCAAATTTTTATATCACACTGCCCCGTCATTAGGGTGGAGTCCGTGAAAGTGAAAATTAAGCCCCAGTAAAACCTTCTTCAGTTCAGCAGAGATTGATTCATTTACAGTGTCTTTTGGCACCTCATAATTGTCAGAAATGAGTTCTTTGGGCCTTTAATTCTTCAAATTTTCCGAGTACAAAATCTGAGCCCCAGCACCAATTTATTCCTGGTGACAGGGCTGGCAAGACATTCACACGAATTTCTATATTTTTCAGGCAAAGAATATGAGTTCACCCAGCCATAAAACCAGTCACTATGTAACAATAGCTGAATTTGAAGATACTGTAGGAGATGGCTTAAGTTTTAAAGAAGGACAATCTGTTCATGTAAGTTTTGTACATCGCAGCCACGTTACCGATACGGAAATCCTGATGTCCACATGCTTTTTACTGGGAACGATATATCAGATAGCATAAAGGCATGAAGAATTTAAAGAGGTTTCTAGTGTTTTTTTGGTGTATCATGGCTATTTATGGTCCCTGTTTGCTGCTATTGCTATATAAGGGCCTTTGTGATCGCCATTTATGGTCCCTGTTTGCTGCTATTGCTATATAAGGGCCTTTGTGATTGCCATTTATGGTCCCTGTTTGCTGCTATTGCTATATAAGGGCCTTTGTGATCACCATTTATGGTCTCTGTTTGCTGCTATTGCTATATAAGGGCCTTTGTGATCACCATTTATGGTCTCTGTTTGCTGCTATTGCTATATAAGGGCCTTTGTGATCACCATTTATGGTCTCTGTTTGCTGCTATTGCTATATAAGGGCCTTTGTGATCACCATTTATGGTCTCTGTTTGCTGCTATTGCTATATAAGGGCCTTTGTGATCACCATTTATGGTCTCTGTTTGCTGCTATTGCTATATTAGGGCCTTTGTGATTGCCATTTATGGTCCCTGTTTGCTGCTATTGCTATATAAGGGCCTTTGTGATCACCATTTATGGTCTCTGTTTGCTGCTATTGCTATATAAGGGCCTTTGTGATCACCATTTATGGTCTCTGTTTGCTGCTATTGCTATGTAAGGGCCTTTGTGATTGCCATTTATGGTCCCTGTTTGCTGCTATTGCTATATAAGGGCCTTTGTGACCGTCATTTATGGTCTCTGTTTGCTGCTATTGCTATATAAGGGCCTTTGTGACCGTCATTTATGGTCTCTGTTTGCTGCTATTGCTATATAAGGGCCTTTGTGACCGTCATTTATGGTCTCTGTTTGCTGCTATTGCTATATAAGGGCCTTTGTGACCGTCATTTATGGTCCCTGTTTGCTGCTATTGCTATATAAGGGCCTTTGTGACCGTCATTTATGGTCTCTGTTTGCTGCTATTGCTATATAAGGGCCTTTGTGACCGTCATTTATGGTCCCTGTTTGCTGCTATTGCTATATAAGGGCCTTTGTGACCGTCATTTATGGTCTCTGTTTGCTGCTATTGCTATATAAGGGCCTTTGTGACCGTCACTTATGGTCTCTGTTTGCTGCTAATACCATCAAAGGGTCTGTGTGATTGCTGTGTGAGCTTGCTTATTCTATTTTTAGATTAGGACCTGAATATGGCTTTTATTTGATTTTTATTTGATTTCTTTATCAACAGGCCTTGGAGCAGGCATTGGATGGATGCATTCATATCTTGTTTCAGATTAGGACTTGACTAATGATATGATTTAATTTTGATTTCAGGTAAACGAAAAGACAGATAGTGGCTGGTGGTTTGTCAATATTGACGGCAAGGAAGGCTGGGTTCCATCCTCATACATCCAGTCTCAATCTGAGGACAAACTAGATGGACACGATCCAGAAGTTTATTGTACGATCGATGAAGCTGAAATCTCTTCTGATTGGTCCAGTGATAATGATGATGCTGACCAATCAAATGTTGTATTGAGAAAACCTTCCAAAAAGAAGGGAAATAGTATCACAGATGCCATTAAAACTCAGTTACGCAAGCGACAAAGTAATTCAGATCCAGATTCTAAATCTGACGAAAAAACAGAAAAACCAAAAGTTCCTGATCTCCCGTCCAAACCCCAAAAGTCAAGTGGTGTCACACCCAAACCTGAGCCCCAGAGTGATTTCAATCACGGATTAGCCAATATATTGAAATCAAAATTTGAAAATCGAAATAATAATCAAACGAATGAATCTGATTCAGTGGAGAATTCACGATCTCAGACTAAGCCAATATTACCAACAAAATCTTCGTCTGACGTGAAACCTCCGCTTCGCCCAAAGTCAGCAGATGGGCTGGAGTTGAGGTTATCTCGCTGTCCAATAAAAACCATGGTAAACCAGTCCCAAAAATAGCCTGTCAGTCCCCACACTCAGTGAAAAGTACCTCATCCTCATCCAACAAGCCTGTAATAACTTCAAAACCTGCATTGGGTAACAAACCTTCACCAGGAGTGAGACCTACTTCAGGAATTAAACCTCCACTTGGCTCAAAACCAGCATTAGGAACCAAACCAACATCAAATACAAAACCAGTATTACCAACTAAACAACCAAATTTGTCCAAACCTGGTAACAAGTTTGGTACAGGTCCACCACCTCCAAAATTACCAACCAAACCTGCGAATTCGATGGCATCTGACTCTAATAATAATGATGATAGTGAAAAATCAGGGCCAGGAGTTCAGGGACTTGCTGCAGCTCTTCAATCCAAATTTGAAAATAAAAATAGTGCTCCTGGACTCTCTAAATTTGAAAACAAAAACAGTGCGCCAGGACTCTCTAAAATTGAAAACAAAAATAGTGCACCAGGATTCTCTAAATTTGGGAATACAAACAATAAACCAGCCTTGCCTAAGTCAGAAATAAAAAACATTTCATCTGTGGCTTCTAAGTTTGAAAACAAGCAAAATGTGCCAGTTCTACCCAAAACAGATAATAAACCAACTGTCTCACTAGCTTCGAAATTTGAAAACAAAGGTAATGCACCTCCAAAGTTTCCTGGAAAACCAAATTTACCAACAAAGAAAACAGTTGAAAAATCTCAAACATCTAGCAAAGGTCTTGACATTGATAAACCAAAAGCAAATGTTGGAAATTTAGTCAGTGCTTTGAGTGGAAAATTAAACTTTGGGGGTCCAGCGAATACCTCTAGCAATAACAGTTCTGATGTTGGACTTTCAAATAATCATAATAATATTGGAAAAAATAGTGCTATGAATACTGCTAACAATAGTAAAAATACTGTTGGAAGTCAGAACTCTAAAGCATACATCGTGGTCGAGTCGTTCGTGGCAGAATCAGATCAAGAAATAACGATCAGAGAAGGAGATGAGGTTGAAATTGTAGAAGAATCCGACTCTGGTTGGTGGATGGTGAAACTGAATGGCAAGAGTGGGTGGGTCCCGTCTGCTTATTTAGTCGAGAGACGAAAAGATGCCCCGGTGGCGGCTCCACCTGTCCCTCCTCACGCAGCATCAAAACGTGCATCCAGAGTTATTTATAAAACATGTGCCTTGTTTATGGCGGAGAATGAAGGTGAACTTGGGTTCGATGAGGGAGAAACGGTAGACGTAATGGATAAAACAGACGCTGAATGGTGGTTGGTTAGAATTGGGAATGAAGAGGGTTGGGCTCCGAGGTCGTACATTGAACAAGTGGAGATCGAGGACACGAGAGGCAAACCACCCGCCCCTCCCAAAGGAAAACCTTCAATACAGTTTCCCCTCCCTGCACGCTAAAAATTCTTGCTTGATTTATACTTTGTAAATCCAATTATTTTTACGTCTGCTCTTGACTAAAAGTTTTGGAAATTGGAATTCTGTGTTTTACCTCTTATCTCCAAATACTGTTGTATTGCAATAGATTTCATAACATGGTTAAGAATTTCATTATATTTCTCTTTGGGTATATTATGATTGATCTACTTCTTCATGTGAAAAGACCATTGCCTTCTACCAATATTTCCGTGTCTTAGATATTGAGTTTGTTTTGCGGTTTTGGATCATTAGTACTTGGTTTATTTATGATACTACTCAATTCAGATCACATGACAAAGTTAACAAAGTCAGTGATACCAAATTATACTCCTTGTGTTATATGTTATATATGTCTCTCTCTCCACCTCATTTTCTTATGAAACCGATCTCAATATTTGGGATTATTGCCAGTACTTTGCCTGCAAATTATTTGTAATAGTAATTGTTATTTCTTGGAAAATTGTGTCTAAAATATTTAATATTCATTTATCATTTATAGTCAATCATAGCTATTTGTGCAAGCTTATATCATGCTTACTCTTTTCGAAACACTTGAGGGTACTTCTCTTTAGAGGAGTCCATTACTATACATCTTTTACTCTTGATTTTACCATTCTTTGATTGAGATTTGACTACAGGAATGTCTTGCTTGTACGTTTTTTTATTAATGTAGTCAAATAATAATAATTATATCTTTATACCTTATTGAATACACTTGTTAAAATCAATTCAATTTCTCAAGTTTTTGTAAATAAAACCATAGGATTTGGTAGAAGCAAACTCGAAGTTTAATCAGTTTTTTCGAATACAGTTTTTTCGAGTATTTTTTTTTCTTTCAAATGATGTAGGATTCATTTTTGGACAATTTTTAATGTTATTTATTTGCACATTGTTATCTCTTGCTTGGCCAAGAGTTTAATCAAAACATGGACCTGTAGGTCGACCGCATTGAGGTATCGCGTGATGCATAGGGATACTGTACAATATCTGGTAATATCTCAGATAGATCCTAAATGTTATGACAGATTTTGCTTGTGTCTTGGCAAATAAACTATAGATCCATTTTTGGATGGGGGCAACTCTCATAAAATGTCTGGCCCTAAAAGTGCTGATATCCTATCTGTATATCAAGGAAGGGGCAGGGCCAGATTTGTAGGTCAAGTGTGTCACTTAAACAGAAAACTTTTACCATTCATTTTCCTATCTGGGCATTATGTAAAATATTTCGCAGGTATGGGCGCAATGTTATGAAGGAACATGAATTATTTTCCATATAAAACCTATTTTTTTTTTAAATTAATTTTAAGGCATTTTACAATTGATATATCTAATGGTGTGAGGACTCATTTTGTGAACAATAAATTCATTGATGTTAAAAATCGATCCTTTGATAAAAGTTAAGAAGTTAAAGACTGCTAGTCTGTTGGTAAATGAAGCAGATAATCTGCATGATTTTTTATTGTACATAATATTTTATAAACTAGACCTACATAGATAGCTTTCCAGGCTAAATTTCCCTCATTGCATACTGCATGGTGTTGATCATCTTCATTAGCCCAATTAAGTGCAGAAGAAAAGGATGTAAAACATTTCATTTGTTAACTATATAGCTTATTTGGCAAAATTTCCCTCATTACATACTGCACGGTGTTGATCATCTTCATTTACCAAATTGGGATGTACGACTCCTTATCATTTCATTATATTTGTTATCTTTGTAACTTTGTTAAGAATTTCTGGAAAATAAATCTGAAAATAATAATAATCTTGTATGTTTTATTGGATACTGACAGATATTACTGAAACATAGAGAAGTTTTTCAGCTAAAGCTTGATTCATTGTCCCTTGAACAACTTCTAAATTCGTGGCTCCAAACCAGGAGATAGGCCTAGGCTACCTGATAGGCCCCTGGAGACTATCTTCACTTTCCTTCTGGGGGGTGGGATATGGATAAAACAATGGCTTTGAATAAGCCCTCAATTGTAAACAAACCTCAAAGGTTCCCTGACATTACAATGATCTAGGATAACCTCTTTAATGGTAAACAAACCTCAATGTTTTTGCCTTATGGCTTTAAGCCTACATCCTTCAAAAACCTCTTAATTGTAAACAAACCTGTCGCTACAATGACCTTGAATAAACTTTAATTATAAACAAACTCAAAGGTGCCCTGTCTCTACGCTACAACCTTAAATATTCCCTAAATTGTAAACAAACCTCCATGGCTCCCGGAAACTAGGCTACAAAATAAATTGTAAACAAACCCCAATTACACCATGTCACTACAATGACAATCGGTTTGTTTACAGTTTAGAGGTTATTGGAGGCCATTGTAGTGACAGGGAGACATTGAGGTTAATTCATAGACCTTAAATCTAAATCTAAATCTTATATGTAAACAAACTTCAATTGCTCCTAAACATGAATATATTTCGTTTTCTGTTTAACATGAAATGAGTTATTTTAATATACCAAGGGAGACAACTACCAATAGCTTAAGCGCTGTCAATTGGTAAATTTAGCATTTGTTCATTCATGTAATTCGCTTCTAAATTTTGCAATTCTCATTATTATTTTTTTCTGATGAGATCCTTTGCATATTGCCCCATCAACTCTGATATGATTCAAAAATATTCCTATTTTAACCTGTCTATAGCAAACTTCTCGAAATCATCGCCAAATGTGACAATAACTGTGTTGACCACTCCCTTCCAGTCCCACTCATTTGTTTACGTTTCGTAACAATATTTTCATCCACCCTCTAGCTGATCTATTGATTGTTTCTCCTTACAGTAAGAACTTTTATTCATCAGTTTATAGAAAAGATACAACTTTTGATTGGCCACCATATGATAAACATTGACAAGAAAAAAGAGGGTGTGTGTAGTAAAATCAGATTATCCTGCAAAGACCACCATCTCATCAGCCATCATGGCTCAGCCAATGTACCCAAACATGCAGCGACCACCGACACAAGAATGTGTTTCTAAAGTAGATATTCAAGTAGAATGTAGAAGTCTTCTGAATAAAGACACAACATCCAAATCTGACCCATGTGCTGTTTTATATATGTCCAGATCTGGAGCTCAATTTTATGAGGTAAGAAAGAGTGTTATTCTTCTTCTTCAGACTATGCATGAAAAGAAAACTGCTATACTGAGGGTACTAATATGTTGAAGCATATTTTGCAATTAGTGACGTCATCATCCGTTTTGTAGTGTTATTGCAAGAACCACAGGCTTCTGATTGAAAATGGTGCAAATTGCAAATGGTATTAGTGTTCCTTATACACATAAAAAATTTAGAAAAATCTATTTACAATTATTATGCAATCCCAAATGATCATATTGGTAGCATTTAATTTCCGATCTGTAGATTCTGTACCGACCGACAGAGCTGAATGATTGATTTGGACTATTTCCTTGAATCTTTGTCACTTGTGTGAAAACGATATTTAAAAAAAAAATTGTGATGAATAAAAAATTTATCAAAATAATGTTTTCAGAAAGTGATACCATATTTTAACCATTTTTTCACAATGCACATTGTGGAATTTTCTATAATGCGCGCTCGTATAGTGAAATTTTACATATGGTAGGGCCTACATATGACCACAATTTAGTAAGCAATAGTCCAACTCTCTCAACAAGACTGTAATTAAATTCTGTAATTTCCAGGTGGGAAGAACAGAGAATGTCAAGAATTGTCTGGATCCCAAGTTTGCTAAAAGTTTTGTTACTAATTATTATTTTGAAGAAGTTCAGAAAGTTCGGATAGCTGTATATGATTTGGACAATAAAACCCTGGATTTATCTGATGATGATTTTCTTGGACAAATTGAATGTACACTTGGACAGGTAAGTTATGAATTATGATACTTTGTTAAAATTTCACTTCCTGCTTGAATCATGTTGTTGCTCGGAGTTTCACACTATGCAATCTTCAGACAACTCTTTTTAATCTATTTATATTTTAAGCAAACCTAAATGATGGTTTTAAATTTCAGTTGGTGTCTAACAACCCTTACAGTAAACCTCTTTTGTTGAAAAATGGTCAAAAAGCTGGAATGGGAACAATAACAGTAAGTGAATAGTTTTTTATTTTCTCGTCATATTTTTACTACACATACAACAGATAGATAAAATGATTAACTTTATTAAATATTCTCCAATATTTCAACATTGTTGCCAAGTGGTGAAGTATTCATCAATGCAAGTAAAGATCAAATTACCTATTGAGTGACCAAAATCTTTACATTTTCCTATAAAAATTAGTTCCATCATCTGTAAATTGATTTATTTGAATATTGTAGGCAGAATTCAGTCCAATGGGTTATTATTTATTTATGAACAATTAAACTTCATGAAAAGTGTTGTTTCTGCAGCCTCAAATTATTTTGTTACCACCATACCACAATTTAACAAACCAATTTCTGATTACTGGTGTCCTTATGCTCAGTCTACCCTTAGACTTAAAGCAAGCCTGTATGTATTCCTATAGAAATCTTCCTCTTTTTTAGTTGAGGACTGAAGAGGTGAAGGAAGGTGGTGAAATTTTAAACATGACTTTCAGGGCAGCAAAATTAGATAATAAGGTAAAATAAATTAGATTATAAGGTAAAATAAATTAGATTATAAGGTAATTGGATGGCTGAGCCATTTTGGGGTGTTGATTTTAGTTTTAAATAGTCTTCAGAAGCACTAGAAATGTACGAAAATCGCTTTATTCCTTCAAAAATATCTCAAACTAGAATGTTTTTTTCCTATTTCTATAGATGTCTTTTCTATATATGGCAGCGTCTCAAAAAAAAGACGACTCATCTTTTTAACTTAAAAACGTGGATAATTCTGGACACACATGGATTTGAAGGCTCAAATTTCAACGGTTAGCTGTGAACACTATTACTGATTAGCTCAACTAATTCCAGTTTCTGGGACTAAAGTATGATGGGTTAAAAAAAAATGGCACACTTGTCCCTTTAACATTGCTCCTTTTCTGTGAGTTAGTAAATAATTAGGTTATGGATCTGTCGGACATCAGGCAATATCCTAACCTTGCTATTGGTAAAGACAATCTACATTGTACCTAATAATTCACTATATCAGAAGTAAAAAATCAACAGATTTGTTGTTTACTTGAATTCAACTATTGCAATCCTGCATGGCCTGTTAAAACTTATTGTAATAAAATCTACATCAATAATAATCACATGTCTAGTAGTTATAATGCCTTTATTCTTAACTCATCCAACTTCCATCAATATACATCTATATTAGCCTTATATGATGATTATACTTAATAACCGGCATTCAATTAAGAATGAGTGTAGCGACATGGGAGATAACTAGTCCCGAATAATTGACACTGATAGGTATGATTTCATTATATAGTTAGGTTACAGACTGTGCATATAAATGATCCAGTTGGATACCAAAGTATTCTATTCTATTATCCAGGCAAAACTTCTGTCGTTGGACACTGTCTCTGTCTTCATTATTAGAAAAGTAGGAAGTAAAGTAACTTTTTTTCTTGGCTTTTTTTGCAGGATTTTATGGGGAAATCAGATCCGTTTTTAGAGATTTTAAAATCAACTGTTGATGGATCTTGGCAAGTTGTACATAGAACTGAGGTAGGTCACTGGATTATTTTAACAGTGGTATTTCCATATCTCCATATCTACAGTTAATATATTGATCACTATTTTAACAGTGGTATTTCTATATTGCTCTATAATTGATGTATTGAGCACTATTTTAACAGTGGTATTTTTATATTGCTCTATAATTGATGTATTGAGCACTATTTTAGCAGTGGTATTTTTATATTGCTCTATAATTGATGTATTGAGCACTATTTTAACAGTGGTATTTTTATATCACTCTACGATTGATACATTGAGCACTATTTTAACAGTGGTATTTCTATATAGCTCTATGATTAATGTATTGAGCACTATTTTAACAGTGGTATTTCTATATAGCTCTATAATTAATATATTGAGCACTATTTTAACAGTGGTATTTCTATATAGCTCTACAATTGATATATTGAGTACTATTTTAACAGTGGTATTTCTATATCGCTCTACAATTGATATATTGAGTACTATTTTAACAGTGGTATTTCTATATCACTCTACAATTGATATATTGAGTACTATTTTAACAGTGGTATTTCTATATCGCTCTACAATTGATATATTGAGTACTATTTTAACAATGGTATTTCTATATCGCTCTACAATTGATGTAATGAGCACTATTTTAACAATGGTATTTCTATATCGCTCTACAATTGATGTATTGATCACTATTTTAACAGTGGTATTTCTATATTGCTCTATAATTGATGTATTTATCACTATTTTAACAGTGGTATTTCTATATCTCTCTATAATTGATGTATTAAGCACTATTTTAACAGTGGTATTTCCATATCTCTCTCAATTGATGTATTGAGCACTATTTTAACAGTGATATTTCTATATCTCTCTATAATTGATGTATTAAGCACTATTTTAACAGTGGTATTTCTATATCTCTCTAACAATTGATGTATTGAGCACTATTTGAACAGTGGTATTTCTATATCACTCTACAATTGATGTAATGAGCACTATTTTAACAATGGTATTTCTATATAGCTCTATAATTAATATATTGAGCACTATTTTAACAATGGTATTTCTATATCGCTCTACAATTGATGTATTGAGCACTATTTGAACAGTGGTATTTCTATATCAGTCTATAATAAATGTATTAAGCACTATTTTAACAGTGAAAATATTTTGTTATTTGTATTAAGTTAAACTTAATAATGAGTACTATTTCTATGATGTTAGGTGGTAAAGAATAATTTAAACCCCAGCTGGAGACCGTTCAGTGTTTCTCTACAGACTTTATGTGGTGGTAACAGAAACAGTCAAATCAGGGTAAGTACCTATTTTTATAATATATGTATGAATCAGTCTTTCACTGTCTATTAAAATTACATTGAGAATGCTATAGAATTCAACAGAATTGGATTGGTCTGATCTTTGCTTCATTTTTTCAAGAATTTAGGCAAAGAAGTGAAATTTTTTCAGTGTGGTTTTTGTTTTAGCACTTTGGAGCCATAACAGGGCCAACCTAGAAAAAATATGGATATTATGTAGTTTTTGTGTTTTGTAGTTTGATATCTATGATTGGGATAGTGATGGTTCTCATGATCTTATTGGAGGCTTTAAGACCAGTGTAGAAGAAATGATCTCCAGTAAATCTGAGGTAGGGTTTGAATTTTTACTATAAAAAAATACTAACCACAAAACAAAACCTGAATTCTAATATAAGTTTGACAATATATTGTATATTGTTAGCAGCTAATGAATAATTCATATGAGAAAGTGTATCAATGATAAATGAGTAAATATTTCATAATTAAAAATTGTAGGTCTAGTAGATACCGGATACAATTTTTCATTATAAATACTTCCTCATAAACCTAAAATACATCAAACAGAAAATAAGGGTCTTGTTATAGGAGCAGGACTAGTATTCATAAAGACACATTTACCAGTAACAGGCTAGCACAAGGGGACATGATTATGGAAAATATATAGGTGATCTTACATTGCACAGTCATTATGGCAATCATCAGGAAAACTGAGAAAATTATTTGGAAGGCAAAAGTTCATGTCAATACCTGTAGTAGACCTTCTCTCAAGGCAAGGGGAAATTGAGATCAGATTTCACAGGTCGCTAAAAATGTCTGGTTGCCAAAACTATAAATAAACAGACCTGTTTTCAACCCACTTACTAACCTGTTCCATTACATATAACCTGACCTTAAATTATTTAGAGAGATGGTGATTTAAAAATATTTGATAGAATCATTAGCAACTGATTTTCAATGATTGGTACCAGTTTGCTGTCAGGTATTTTGACCCTACCTTTAATGACCAATATTTTGAGGGGGAAAGAAGCATACAGTATATTTGTGTGTATATTGCACAGTTTTTATTCCCAAAAAGTGATTGCCAAACAGGATGTGCATTATGGTATAGATAGTGATAAAAATTGTAGAATTTTTCACCAGAGGTAAGTATATCAGGATAAAATTATTAGAGTTTTTTTGGTTATAAATCTGCCTTACTATAATCATAGTCATGTTATTTTCAGCCGGCCTGGCCTTGTATCAATGAAAAGAAAAAAGCCAAGAAGAAAAGTTACAGTAACTCAGGCATGGTTTATTTAACAGCATGTAAGGTATGTATGTTTTCTTTAGAAATAACTTCAAATGGAGTTACACATCTTACTTTTCTGCACTCATTGGACTTTTGAAGACAGACAACACCAGTACCAGCATTAGCTTTTTTGATTTCTAATGTCAAGGGATCTTTAACATGCATAGTTATTGTCCCATCTGCATGACTAGACACTGTTACAATGTCAGTCTATCTGACCTGTACAAATAAATTTATGGCTTTTTCTCATTCAATTTTGTTTTCAGATTAGTAAAGATCATAGCTTCCTCGAGTATATATTTGGTGGAATGCAGGTGAATTTTACTGTAGGGATAGATTTTACTGCTTCTAATGGTAACCCCCAACAACCAACATCTCTACATTTTATAGACCCCTATAGACCTAACGAATACATACAGGCCATCAGATCAGTGGGCGGAGTCTGTCAAGATTATGATACGTAAGTTACCTCCCCCCATAGATCTAATGAATACATACAGGCCATAAGATCAGTGGGCGGAGTCTGTCAAGATTATGATACGTAAGTTACCTCCCCCCATAGATCTAATGAATATATACAGGCCATAAGATCAGTGGGCGGAGTCTGTCAAGATTATGATACGTAAGCCCCCCCCTTACCCCCCCCCTTCAATAGACCTAATGAATACATACAGGCCATAAGATCAGTGGGCGGAGTCTGTCAAGATTATGATACGCAAGTTACCTCCCCCTATAGACCTAATGAATATATACAGGCCATAAGATCAGTGGGCGGAGTCTGTCAAGATTATGATGTGCAAGTTACCTCTGTACACTGAATACCATTGCCCTTCTTCGTAAGTCCATTAAGTGCATAAAGTAGGATGTAAAACTCCATTCAATTTGTTTCCTGTATTTTTCAGAGATAAAATGTTTCCTGTTCTGGGATTTGGAGCTAAGATTCCTCCACAGTTTGATGTTTCACATGAATTTGCTGTTAATTTTAACTTACAAAATCCTTTTTGTGCAGGTAAAATATTTTCATTGTGATTATTGTTGGGGGAGAAAACAATGGTCGAGTCATTTTATGCCCTTCAGAATCTGATTCTAAACATTCACTTTATTAGATTGAAGTCTGGTAGAAACCTATCATCAATGAATGCAGTGGTATTTATGCACAAACACAAGAAACTTATAACACCCCACAACACAAATTGAGCAATTCTTGTAAGAAAGGGTTTAATGAAGTCACAAATTGAGCTCTATCAGCTAGTAGAACCAATATTCAAATGAATATATTTACAGGTATTGAAGGTGTGGTACAGGCCTATATGAACTGTATATCTCAGGTTCAACTGTACGGACCAACTAATGCTTCTCCTACCATTAACCACGTAGCAAGGTTTGCTGCTACTGCCCAACAAGAAGAAGGTACCAAGGGAGCTCATGTAAGTCTTAGGATAGAAATATCAATACAGAACTTGAATCTTGTTGATACTCAGAATTTCACTCTATGCGAATAAGTACATATAAATGATTATATTTGTCACTTTCACCAATAAGAGAGATCGGCCATGATGTCATAGAGGTGGTTTGTGTATCACATGATGCACAACTTTAACAGTTGTAAGAGTGGTTTGTCCTACTAATTGTCCTATTCAAGTCATGTTCTAGCATATCACGGATAAGCCTATTATTTATTCAGTATTCAGATTTTTCAACTTTGTATTACATTCAGAGAGTACGAACAGTTGCCTGTATTTTAGATATATACTATATAGTGACAGAAACAATACAGACTAAACTGCCCAACTAAAAATAAAATTGATTGCTTGTTTATGTTTTTAATCAGACCACACAAATATCTTTGCTCATATTTGTAAATATATTGTGTTATTTTATTCTGTGAGTCAACATCACAGTGTAGCACCAGACAGGGTATGCTTACTCTTCTAGAAAACTGATACCACTGTTCATTATGAAATACCTACTCATTTATGTTTGATATACTTTCTCACGTGAAAATTTCATTAGCTGCCACCAATATTTTGCTGATATGTTGTATAAGATTTCAGGTTTTGTTTTGTGGTTTGGATAGTTAGTACTTTGTTTATTTTTAACTAATAACTATATTGTGTTGTTTAATTCCAGGCGTATTATGTATTACTATTACTAACTGATGGTGTTTTAACAGATATGTCTAATACTCTACATGCTATAGTCCAAGCCTCTAAACTGCCAATGTCTCTGATTATTGTGGGTGTGGGAACAGCTGATTTTACTGATATGAATACTCTGGATGGTGATAATGGCATGCTGAGAGCTCCTAATGGGGAAGTCGCCAAACGTGACATCGTACAATTTGTACCTTTTAGAGATTTTAAACAGGTGAATATATTCTTTTTTAATATAAATTAATTAATTATTGATATAAACTTATGTTTTTTTCTGAAATCCTAATTTGTCTACAGTATGCAGTGTAAATCTGCATAAATATTGTTTAAACCATATTTATTTTACTCAAGCATGTAAACTAATTACTGAAGGATTTTCTCAAAATTTTAGATTTCATATCTGGATGTTTTTGTTTCATGTTTTTATTCTACTGAGGACTCTACTTTCCATCCATGATCTGAGGAAATTCTTATGCATCACATGATCTAGGATAATATGATTTTCAACCATAAGTTCTATCTCATTGCACACTGCATGGCATTCCTGTCTTCATTAGTACAATTTTGTGCAGAAAGTAGGATATACAGCTCCCTTCCGTGTTATTTCTTATTTCATTATTTTATGTTTTTGTATTTTCTATTTTTAGGCTTATCCTGCTGAATTGGCACGCCATGTTTTAGCTGAGGTACCTAAACAAGTTACAGGGTATTATAAAATGAGGGGGCTGGTCCCTAACGTCCTGAAACCCAACCCTCCTCCCCCAGCACAGTAATCACTACCCCTAAAAAACTCAGTAATCATCAGTCTTTAACCATAGTCATAGTAATATTATTTTGAAATGCTCTTTCTTTCATTTTACACCTTTTTTATACGCCCACATGGAAATATGGAATTATATTGCCGTCGCCCATGCCCGTAGGTCCGTTAGTTCACATTTCTTGTAGGGGCAATAGAGGCTACAGTTTTTATCCAATCTTGATGAAACTTGGTATGCATGTATATATTTATGAGATCTCGGTCAAGTTCGAAATTGGAATTAATTGGATGACCAGTTTCAGAGTTATTATCCTTGACTTAGTAAAAATGCGTCAAATTCGGCTTGTAGGCACAATAGAGACTACAGTTTTTTTCTGACCTTGATGGAACTTGGTATGCATGTCATCATATATCAGGAATATTGTTTTGAAATGCTCTTTCTTTCATGTTACAACTTTTTTTAACATTTTCAACTAAAACATAAGTCGAACATTATCAATAAGGTTAGGTAAAATAATCGAAATAACCAATTATCGTTGCTTTATAATTCGATTATCGATCATCAAATTTCAGAAATGTCAAAGTTACAACTTCTGTGTACCCATTAACAAGTAGTAATCTCTTCCACATAGGTTCCCTTGAGCACATATCTTACCCACAATAAACTATAATACCAATCAAAGCAATGAATATTATTTTACTTCTAGATACAAAAATAACCCATGAAATTATTCTAAATTAAGATATTTTGATTATAAATTGATTATTGATCAATAGCCTGTTGAATTGTCAATAGGCGATCACAATTTGGTGATCAGTACCCAGGCCTAATTATTAACTTTATATTAATGTGATTCAATATTGTCACTTTGTGGTAATTTTTTGACGATGGTTGAAATTTATATTAAATGAAAGGGGAGAGGAGATATTTTGTACCAAAACGTGCTCTTTTGTTACATGTATTTTTTATATTTTATAAAGTCTTAGAGAATGTTTTACTACTGTTGCTTTATCTAAATTAGAACGGATGTGAATTTAATTTGGTTGCCAATCGTGCAATTGTGAAATATCCACATGACCTGGCAAAATTTAGAGATTGCTCCAGACCAAAATTGATCACAATGAAAAAAAATTCTGATCAGTATAGAGGTCAATAATTACTGAATTTAACAATAACTTTTTAAAAAGAATTTTCCTCATTGTACACTGCATGAGAATTGCCTTGAACGACTTCTAAATCTGTGGCTGCAAACCTGGGTTAAGCCCACTTGAACCATTGAGCATCTCAAGAGGTAGGCTACAGGCCCCTTGGGGAAAGAGAGTTCAATTGAATTTGATGTAGGCCTTTTGACTACCGGTACTTTCACTTTGCCCCGAGAGGTGAGAAGGTAGCCTAGAAGAAGAAAGGGTGAAAAAATGTTGAAATGGCTTCATCACTACTATGACATTAAATAACTTCTAAATTGCAAACAAACCTCAATGGCCCCCTATCATTACAATGGCCTCCAATAACTTCTATATTGTAAACAAACCTCAATGGCCCCCTATCATTACAATGGCCTCCAATAACCTCTACATTTTAAACAAACCTCAATGGCCCCCTATCATTACAATGGCCTCCAATAACTTCTATATTGTAAACAAACCTCAATGGCCCCCTATCATTACAATGGCCTCCAATAACTTCTATATTGTAAACAAACCTCAATTGGCCCCCTATCATTACAATGGCCTCCAATAACTTCTATATTGTAAACAAACCTCAATGGCCCCCTATCATTACAATGGCCTCCAATAACCTCTACATTTTAAACAAACCTCAATGGCCCCCTATCATTACAATGGCCTCCAATAACCTCTACATTTTAAACAAACCTCAATGGCCCCCTATCATTACAATGGCCTCCAATAACCTCTACATTTTAAACAAACCCCAATGAGTTCTCAGAGACGTTTCTACGGGAGAGTCAGGTGGGGCCTAGAGAAGAGACTGGCCCGACTTTTTTGGTCGTCCCCTGATGTTTCCTAGAAACGACACTGTGGGTTCTGTCACCCCAATGACCTTGAATAACCTCCAAATCAGCTCCTTGTCACAGGAATTACCTCTAAATTGTAAACAAACCTTAAAGCTCCTAATATAATGTCTTTCGTTTTCTGTTTAACATGGAATCAGTCATTTTAATATACCAAGGGAGACAACTACCAAAGCCAAAACTAATGTAAATTTAACAATTATTTTATTCCTGTAATTTGCTTCTTAATTTTGCAATTTTCAGTGGATGTTTGTGATGACATGATTGCATATTGCGTTACCAACTCCTATATGATACAATAATAGTCTTACTGAAACCTGTCTTGCGCAATATTCTCCAAATCGTTGCCAAATCCGACGACATTACCCAATTTGTTTACATTTCGACTTCCTTGTTACTATACCTACTATTCGTAATAATCTTTTCGTGAATTTTGGCCAATTGCAACCAGGAAGTAAATTGATCAAGAATATAAAGTCAGATCAGATAATCCAGGAAAGACCACGATCTCATACCTTATTTTTCAGCTGTCATGGCTCAGCCAATGTTTCCAAGCATGCAACGACCACCAACAGAATGTGCTGCCAAAGTTGAAATTCGAATAGAATGTACAAATCTTCTAGATCAAGACACAACATCCAAATCTGACCCATGTGCTGTTTTATATATGGCAAGATCTGAAGATGAATTTTACGAGGTAAGCAGCTGAATATGCGTCGGTAATGTTTGGAAGATTTGGTCTGCATTCTGGGGCCAGTCTCTTTAGTTAAGTTATTTATTTTAGATATATATATTGTTACAATTTGTTTCAACGGTTCTCTCTTGAGGAAGATATATAACATAGAACACCTGCCATTAAATACTGTGATATGTTTCAGAACTTTCACTGTAGACTGTTTGAAATAGAGTAGGTTATTCTTTTTCACCTGCTGTCTACGACTTTATTTGAGGGCAATTCACATCTATCATTGTGTAGCCTTTGACTACTTTTGTCAATAAGGCAAATAGTAAATTAAATAAATAAGAAGACTATTATAGATATACTACTCCTTTCTTTAATTTCTGCAACGTTTCAATTCACATACAGGAATCTTTATCAAGCACAAGATAATAATGATAGAAAACAGATGACCAATGAAAAGTGTCATCAATTTACTGTTTTTGTGATATAATTGCTGTGTAAATTGTATAATTTTCTATATATGACCATTTTTAACACATACTTGATTGTCTAGTAATGTAGACAACAGTCTTATCTTTCTCTCGTGAATTTCTCTAATTAAATTCTATAATTTCCAGGTGGGAAGAACAGAGAATGTCAGGAATTGTCTAGATCCAAAGTTTGCTAAAAGTTTTGTTACTAATTATTATTTTGAAGAAGTTCAGAAAGTTCGGATAGTTATATACGATTTGGACAATGAATCAACAGAATTATCCGATGATGCATTTCTGGGAAAAATTGAATGTACCTTGGGACAGGTAAGATACATATTGTAGTGTATCCCATGTCAAGTTTTGCTAGATAGTTGTTATTGATTCTTTACAAGATTGTGAACATATTTTGACCAATGAAAAGTGTCATCTATATAACCACAATTTACTGTTTTTTTGGATATAATTGCTGTGTAAGTAACAAGCTATATTTTGAAACTTATAATTTTAGCATTTCAAACGCACTTAAAGCTAGAAAACCTTTTAAAATCCCTTTAATTTATGTAAGTTAAATTTTTAAGCAAACCTAAATGATGGTTAATAAATTTCAGTTGGTGTCTAACAACCCTTACAGTAAACCACTTGTGTATGAAAGTGGTCAGGAATATGATTTGGGAACAATAACTGTAAGTTTAATTTTTTTTTTATTTCAACCATTAATACATAGTTATATTTATATATTGGCTTGGCTTGGCTACTCCATGTCCTCTCTCCGGGATAGTCTGGGTCTTCACCAGGGAGGTCTGGGTGTCGTCCATTACTGCATTCATCAGTGTCTTGTCAGGAAATTCTTGAAATTTCATCCAAAAATCTGAGTGTAAGTTACCTTGCCAGTTTATCTTTATTATATAAGATAGAAAGAAACATTGTGCATGTTAAAGATCCCTTGACAGTTGGAAATAGAAAAAGAGCAGGTTAATGCCGCTGTCCTGGCAAAATTTCCCTCATTGTACACTGCAAGGCGTTGCTCATCTTCATTAGCCTACATGGTGCAGAAAAGTAAGACGTAAAACTCCATTCATTTTCATTTTGACAAAAATAATTTCCAATTTAATTGTGTCTAGATATATACTCTTGTGAAGTAGAATTTATCATGATATTGCTCTTGAAATCTTCCTGTATTTTTTAGGTGAGGACAGAAGAGGTGAAGGAGGGTGGTGAAATTTTAGACTTGACTTTCAAGGCAGCTAAATTAGAGAATAAGGTATATAGTTTAACATTGTTTTTTTCAGGGAGTTCTCAGAGTAAATAATAAGGCCATGTGCTGAAACAATCGTCTAAAAATGTGAAATGTAATAATCAATAGTCTTGTCATGTTACCTGAATTTAACTATTGTCATCAGGTATCAGGTATTTCATTTTATTTCAGGGATGGTAATTTTTTTTTTCCAAGTCGGACATTTTTGGACAATTTTAAACGATGCTTTTCAGAGGGTCAAAAAACGTATCTTATGTGCAATTGTTATTATATTTTCATAACCCAATAACAATATAATGATAACACAATGCACTAAAACAACAATAAAACAATGGGAACATGGGCAAATCATGATCTGTGTCTTATTTTAAAATATTTCATGGTCTAATTGTGACAAGTTGTCATGTTAAAGAAGTATGGGCGTATATTGTAAGTGCCCCTGTGGGTCCGTTCGTTCACATTTACCTCGTGCTCACTCTACAGGCTACAATTCTCTATAGATTCTTTTGATCTTTTGTATTTGTGTCAATATCATTATGAAGATGTGCACTATTGAATTTGGTGAGGATCCGA